CTGCTGCCACACTCCTTGGGACAGCCCAGGATTTGGTTGGTTTCTGGGCTATACCCATGAACATGATGGTTCCATGTCCTGATGGAAAGCGGAAAAGATGGGCTGGTTGGGAATGCTGGGAATGCTGAGTGCTGTGTTTGTCCCCCCCAGATGTCATGGCGCCCGCAGTACCGCAGCTCCAAGTTCAGGAACGTGTATGGGAAGGCAGCGAGCAGAGAGCACTGCTTCGATGGCATTCCCATCACCAAGAACGTCCACGACAATCACTTCTGTGCCGTCAACGCGCGGTTCCTTGCCATTGTCACCGAGAGCGCCGGCGGCGGCTCCTTCCTCGTCATCCCCCTCGAGCAGGTAAGGGGAGGGGAACAAAACCCACAGCAGGTCCAACTGGGTCATGGGACCAGAGAAGCATCAAGAATGAGATCTCTAAGGTCATCGAGTTCAACCATTAACTTGTCACTGCTGTAACCCCCTAAACCATATTCTCAGATGGTGTCAGATCCAGACACCTCTGAAACACCTCCAGGGGGCTGGTGACTCCAGCACCTCCCTGGGCAATATTCCAGTGCCTGTTGCTCCACTGGAGGTGACCACAACCAAGAGCAGGTCCATCTGGATCACAGAATCTTAGAACCATCAAGGCTGGAGGAGACCTTAAGGTCATCAAGTGCAACCATTGACCTGTCATGTCACTGCTACCTAAACCATATCCTCCAGTTTAGGTTTAGGTTTAGGTTTAGGGGTAACAGCAGTGACAGGTTAAGGGTTGGACACCTGTCAAGGGGGTTGGAACTAGATGATCTTCAAGGTCCCTTCCAACCCAAACCATTCTGTGAGTCTGGGACTCGTTGATCTTAAACGTCTCTTCCAACCTTGATGACTCTATGATTCTATGGTATCCTCCAGCATGAGATCCAGACACCTCTTAATTTAGGTTTAGGGGTAACAGCAGTGACAGGTTAAGGGTTGGACACCTGTCAAGGGGGTTGGAACTAGATGATCTTCAAGGTCCCTTCCAACCCAAACCATTCTGTGAGTCTGGGACTCGTTGATCTTAAACGTCTCTTCCAACCTTGATGACTCTATGATTCTATGGTATCCTCCAGCATGAGATCCAGACACCTCTTAAACACCTCCAGTGATGGTGACTCCACCACCTCCCTGGGCAACATTCCAGTGCCTGAACTATTGGCCCTGGTGGAGGTGACCACAACCCAGAGCAGGTCCATCTGGGTCATGGGATCTGAGAATCATCGAGGTCGAGGAGATCATTAAGGTCATTGAGTCCAACCATTAACGTGTCATTGCTGTAACCCCTAAACCCTATCCTCCAGTCCCAGATCCAGATGCCTCTTAAACACCTCCAGGGCTGGTGGAGTTGACTCCAACCCAGAGCAGGTCCATGTGGATGCACATTCCATCCCTGTGCCCTCCTCAGTGTGATGAGTTGAAGGCTCTGCTGGTCTTTCCTGGGGTTCCCTTGTGTAGGGATGGGATTTACCACAGGGAATTGGCCTAGGGGGATGGAGGAGAACATCCCACCAGGCCCTTCCACCCTCCATCCTTCCTCTTTGACACTTCCCTGCTGTACCATTCCCATCTTTCCTGAATTCCTCTCTCATTCCTGACCTCCAATCAGCTCCAGCTGCAAGAGATGATAATCAGAGATTGAATTGCAGTGCACAGCTTGACTCTTATCAATATTCCAGAAACCAGGAGCTTTGTGTGAGCACCCAAAGAGCTCCAGCTCCATCCCTTCACTGCTCCAAGCCCTACCCACACTCCATTTGCTTCTGCTCCTAAATCCTGAGGAACAACCTAACAAATTACGCTTTTTTCCTGGCAAATGGAGCCTCATCCCAATGGGATAAAAGCTAAGATGCTGTTTACAACCTGTTCCAAAGGGATCATCATCCCCACATGGAATTCCTGCCAATATCCAGCCAATAAATCCAGGCTGGAGCAGCCCTTGGCACTCAGTATCAAGTGGTAGCACAAGGCCTTGGAAGAGCTAATAAATTCCTTATTTCTCTATTTAAATAGGGCCTGATTAGCTCATTAAGAAGCACCTAATTTCCTTTGGAAAATCAGCAGCCCCTCTAATTAATTGGCAGCCATAATTAGCCAAGCATAATGAGGGTAACCTAGATACTGCAGAGCCACTCACGGCTTGGGTTGCTGCCATCCCTTGGGAATGTTTTCCCCCCTTCTCTGCCCTCTGTTGTGTTCAGTGAAGCTCTGCAGATCCTTCCTGCTTTGTCCTCCAAGTGATTCCATGTTTCCATAGGCTCAGCCGTATGTTCCTCCCTGCACAGCTTCCTTAGGAAGCAGAGAAAGGGATGTGTGGGTTGGAAAGATGGAGCATGGATGGGTTTTGTTCCATCCCAGAGCTTGTCCTCCCACCCCAAACTGGGTTGGATCCCAAATCCTCCCTCCTTGGCCACTGGGAATCAGCATCTTCTCAACAGCAAGAGGGTTTGGGCTATAAATAGCCTCAGGGAGTGGGTGAAGGAGAGAGCTGAGGTTCAGGAAGATGAGGATTTGCTCCTCAAAGCATAGCAACAGAAGAATCAGAGGATTCTGGAATGGTTTGGGTTGGAAGGACCTCAAAGCTCATCTCATTCCATCCCTGCCATGGGCAGGGACGACTTCGACTAGCCCAGGTTGCTCCAAGCCCCATCCAACGTGGCCCAGAGGATGTGGTCCAGGCTTTACATCCCTGATTATGATCCTGCATGGACCTTCTGGAGCTGGAGCCACTCTGCCATGGAGCCAGACTGGGAGAGCTGGGGGTGTCCAGCCTGGAGAAGAAAAGCTCCAGGGAGACCTTAGAGCTCCTTCTGGTGCCTAAAGGGGCTCCAAGAGAGCTGCAGAGGGATTGGGACAGAGGCAAGAGGGTTCTGCTGCACTGGTGTCTCCATGGGTGCTGGAGGAGCCTTTTGGTTACCCTGTGCAGGGCAGGCTGTTGGCATCACTTCCACTGAGCCAGAGGGAGTTTTGTTCCCACAGGGGATGAGAATAATTTGTTTTCCACATTCCAGACAGTGTTATCTGGCTGAAGGAAGCAGAGCAGGAAGGGGGAGTGAGTCTCTGTTTCCAGGGAGGAAGCTGAGGGCCAAACTCATTGCTTATGTCTGCTCTGTCTGTTGGGGCTGAGGCTGCTCTGGGGGAGCTGCTGGAGCTGCTGGGAATGGGAATAGGGCAGAGAAGGGGATGGGAGTGGGGGAGAGCAGTGCTGAAAACCTCCCTGGGAGCCCCTGGCAGTGGCAGCTGGCAAGTGAGAGCAGTGGGATATCTGTCCTGGCTCCAGGGTGGCTTGGCTCAGGCTCCTGGTGGCATCTGCTGTGCCTTTGCGACCCCAAGGGATACCATATGACCAGCTCTGAGGGTCACCAAGGGTGTGCAGAGACCTGAGCTCATCCCACAGCTCTTTCCTCCTTTTCCACAGCTGCTGAATAGCCCCAGACGTTTTTCAGCAGGGAAACCTCCCACAATTCCCACTATTCCTCTGAATTATGAACCAGTGCTGGTGTCCTTGGAGCTTTGGAGCTCAGGACACAGGAGATTCCTTCACTGTGGTTTATCTCTACCTGGTTTTAGGCTGCAGGAGAAATTCTCTTTATCCTGCTGTTGTCCAGAGGGGGAAAAAAGGCTTACAATCAAGCTGATGCTTCAGCATTGCTTTTTCAAGTGCATATCCCTAGATTTCTGCTGTTCCACATGGATTTTACCAAGAAGATAAGAGCAGAGTTGTGAGAAGCCCAACCTGGAGATTTGCTTGGATTTAAGCACCTGGATGAGCCTAGAAAAGAAGGGAATATTAAAGTTTAATGCTGGAGGAGGAAATAAGAGGGGAAAAACGAAGGTTCTTGAGCCACCAGGAGGGTGGGAGGGGAATGGGAATCCTGGGATGGAGTTTGGGAAACAGCTCTGGGCTGTGCCAGGCCCTTCCTGCCCCCTCTGCCGGCTAAATTCCATAGGAATCCTGTCCTGCCTTGGGGAAAAAAAGTGGCTTTTTCTTAACAAGAACCACAGTTGCCTTTGGAATATGCAGAATTCAATGGCACAGGGAGATTCCAAGGGCTTTTCCTGTGCAGCTAAATGCTCCTGGGGATCAGGATTTGGGGGTTAGGGGATGGAGGGGTCAGGATAAAATCATGCAAATATATCTACAAATAGATATAGAAAATCAATAAGTTTCTATCTAATAAATATAGATATATGTATAATATCTAATAATCCATAACTGATGTATAATATACATTTCATATTTTATATTACCAGTTATATCTGGGACCTTTTCTCTCCAAGGATCCCTAAATATGGACTTTGCAGGTTCAGTTTCATGACAAGAAGGACATGGAGAGGCTGGAGGTGTCCAGAGGTGGGAATGGAGCAGGGTCACCTTCCACCAGCCCAGGTTGCTCCAAGCCCCATCCAACCTGACCTGGAACACTCCCAGGGATGGAGCAGCCACAGCTGCTCTGGGAATTCCATCCCAGCCCCTCACCACCCTCCCAGGGAACGATTCCTTCCCAATATCCCATTTAACCCTTACCAGGTCCTTCCACCTGCCCCTGGGAATGTCCTTAGGGAGTTGTGTGGCTGAGCCACCCAGTGCTGCTTCCTGGCCCAGCACCTCCAGCCCTGTCCTGTCCTCTGACCTCCGAGCTCTCTCCTTAACTCCTTCCCATTCCAGATGTTGGGGCCAGTTCCCTCCTCTTCCCTCCCCCTTCCCAAGGCCCCTGAGCTGTGCCAATGGATTTTCTTTGTCCCTGCAAAGGCTTTATCCAATTTCTCTCTTCCCTGTGCTGCTTCTCTTTGATTTGGCTCCTGATGAACCTCAGTGGATCTTTGTTGACCTTCCCTTGTCCCCAGTCATCCATGAATCTGCTCCAAGGCCATGGAAATGTGTGTCATTTCTTCCTCTTTGGCTCTGAAGTAGGAAAGAGCTTTCCAAAGGCATCAACAAATGTATTTACTCTTAATCTCAGCCCTTGGAGATGTATGTGGACTCAAGGATTTCCTGGGAAACCCTGATTAAGAGACTCATCAGTTGGGAATCAGCCTGGAGTTAAAGACTTGGCACAGAGAGGCCAATGGGAATGTGATTAGGAATGAATGAGGATCTGGGAGAGTTTGGGAAGGGCTCAACAGCCATGACATCAGTCCCCATGGCTGGAGGGTCAGGAATTTGCCTGCCATGCCCTATTTAAAAGAGATTTATGGGATGGGAATCACCTGGAACTAAGGACCCATCAAGGAGAGGCCAATGGGAATGTGATTGGAAATGAATGAAGGTCTGGGAGATCTTGGGAAAGGCTCCGCTACCTCAGTCCCCATGCCTGGAGGGTCAGGAATTTAACTGCTGTGCCCTGATTAGAAGAGACTCGAGTTGAGATTCAACCTGGAGTTAAGGGCTCATCAAGGGGAGGCCAATGGGAATATGATTGGGACTGAATGAGGGTCTGGGAGAGCTTGGGAAGGGCTCAACACCCCTGACCTTAATCCCCATGGCTGGAGCTGGGTGTGGCTCATTGGTCAGGGCCTGGAGGCAGCAGGAGCTGCACCTATTTATTGCCTTCACCTCAATCCCTGAGTTGACCCAGATAACCACATCCTCAGGGCTTTGGGGCCAGCTCAGGTCATCTCTTCCACGTGGGCTGAGCCTGAGGGATGTCTTAGAGCTCCTGGAGGAGTTTGGGCAACAAGTGGTTTATCACTCTAATAATAATTACTTGGAAAGTGTGTTTTTATTTGATAAAGTCTATTAAAATGGATAAATTTGATTAGGGAGAGCTGGGTTTGCCCATGGTTTGGAGAGTCTCGTGGGATGGTTTGTTGCATTTCCATCCCTGGTGGAGCCCAGGCAGGCAGAGAACTTCTGTGGGGATGTGGTTTGGTGGTGGGTTCATGTGGGACTTGGTGGGCTTGGAGGGCTTTTCCAACCTAAATGATTTTGGGAGTCATGAAGAATCCCAGACTGGTTTGATTTGGAAGGACCTTAAAGGTCATCCAGTGCCAACCCCTGCCATGAGCAGGGACACCTTCCACCAGGCAAAGGTGCAAGTGTCCTTGTCCTGTCCCTCCATCCCTTGTCCCAAGTCCCTCTGCAGCTCTCTTGGAGCCCCTTTAGGCACTGGAAGGGGCTCTGAGGTCTCATTGGAGCTTCTCTTCTCCAGGCTGGACACCCCCAGCTCTCCCAGCCTGGCTCCGTGGCAGAGGCTCCAACATCATGGAATGAGATCAACTTTAAGGTCCTTCCATCCCAAACCATTCCATGATTCTATGATCAGCCAGGTTGGATGGGGCTTGGAGCAGCCTGGGTTGGTGGAAGGTGTCCCTGCCCATGGAAGGGTTGAAACAAGATGAGCTTTAAGATCCTTCCAACCCAAACCATTCCATGATTTTAGGATTCAGCATGGCCCTATGGCTGATGTGGCATGAGCGTGAAGTTGGAGCCTCTTGAGCTCCTTCCAGACTTTGCCCATGGTTTTAGACCATCATGCGAAGGTTTAGATTGGACCTTAGGGCAGATTTCTTCACCAAAAGGGTTGTCCAGCATTGGCACAGGCAGTGGTGGAGTCACCATCCCTGGAGGGATTTAAAAGCCATGTATATGTGACACTTGAGGACATGGTTAGTGGTGACCTTGGCCATTGTTTGGACTTGATGGTCTTCAAGGTCTTTTCCAAGCTAAATGATTCTGTGGAACACTGATGTCCATGGTTTCACCTGAGGGGTCTGCACAAGCCTGGCTGGAGCTGGGGCAGCCCATGGAGGAGACAGGGACAGCTCCTGGAGGTGACATCATCCCCACAGAGGTCCCAACCTCCATGGCAACCCTAGGTGGGGCCAGGGACATCAGGTGGGCACAGCTTGAGTCATCTGCAGTAGTAGGGGATGGCTGGACCATCCCTGGCTTAACTAGATGTTTCCTCCAGCCCAAAACCCCATCTTAAGTTGAACCATGGACCTCTTTCCCCTCCCAAGTTGCCATCCATGGAAAGCTCGACTTTATCCCCAAATTTGGTGGTTTTCCTAACTTTTTGCTTTCTTTCCACCCCCAGACAGGCAGAATCGAACCAAATTACCCCAAAGTCTGTGGCCACCAGGGCAATGTGCTGGACATCAAGTGGAATCCCTTCATTGAGAACATCATTGCCTCATGCTCTGAAGACACCTCGGTGAGCCATGATTCTTCCCTGTGAGGTGCTGAGGCACTGGAATGGATTTCCCAGAGCAGCTGTGTCTGCTCCATCCCTGGGAGTGTTCCAGGCCAGGTTGGATGGAGCTTGGAGCACCCTGGGCTGGTGGAAGGTGTCCCTGCCCATGGCAGATGAGTGTTGGGGTGTTCCCAGAGCTCCCAAACCCATCCCAATGGTGCTCTGTTTCACAGGTGAGGATCTGGGAGATTCCTGAGGGTGGCCTGAAGAGGAACATGACTGAGGCTGTGCTGGAGCTCTATGGGCACAGTCGTCGCGTTGGCCTGGTCGAGTGGCACCCAACGACCAACAACATCCTCTTCAGTGCTGGCTATGACTACAAGGTGAGCCCTGACCCATTCCAGATGTTCTATCACTGCCTGGGAATGCCCTTGGAAAGACTTTACCCTGGTTGTGACATAGCCAGTGTAGGTCCATTGAATCATGGAATGATTTGGGTTGGAAGAGACCTTAAAGCTCATCTCATTCCACCCTCATGGGCAGGGATGCTTTCCACTAGCCCAGGTTGCTCCAAATCATCTTCCCACAGGTCCTCATCTGGAACTTGGACATTGGGGAGCCAGTGAAGATGATTGATTGCCACACAGATGTCATCCTCTGCATGTCCTTCAACACTGATGGAAGCCTCTTGGCCACCACCTGCAAGGACAAGAAGCTGAGGGTGGTGGAGCCACGCTCCGGCAGGGTCCTGCAGGTGTGGGGTCTGTGCCATGGCATGCAGGGGGAGGGAGAGGATATTGGGGTGGAATCCTGATGAAACAGCTAAAAACCTCTGCAGGGTGCTATATGTACTTACGGTGAGATGGTTGACGTGTGTCAAGGTCTGCAGGTAGTTCTCTGCTGTGGGAAGAGGTTAATCAGGTGAAGATGATGGGGAGAGTTTGGCCATCATCCCAAGTAGAGTTGGGGAGAGATTGGTCTCATCCCAAGGAGAGGAGTTGGGATGGCATTGCACCAGGATCAGGTGGGAGAGGTGAGGGGGCAGCACATTGGGCTGTTGGCCAAGGAAGGGACTTTGCTGGGAGTAGAGTGGGATCTAAGGGGGTTCACAATGAGCTCACTCATGCCTTGCAGGAGGCCAACTGCAAGAACCACCGAGTCAACAGGGTGGTCTTCCTGGGCAGCACCAAGAGGCTCCTGACCACGGGGGTGTCACGCTGGAACACAAGGCAGATTGCACTCTGGGACCAGGTGGGTGTGGGACCTCAATCCCACCCTACTGGGACCCTCTGTCACTGCTTGGACCCTCTCCATCCCTGCTGGGACCTCTTCATCCCTGCTGGGACCACCAATCCATCCCTGCTGGGACCACCAATCCATCCCTGCTGGGACCTCTCTATTCCTGGTGGGACCCCTCTCCCTCTCTGCTGGGACACCTCTCCCTCCTTGCTGGGACTTCCACTGAGATCAAACATCAGGAGTGACATCCTGGTGACTAAAGTGTTTCCTGTGTTGCAGGAAGACCTGTCCATGCCCCTGATTGAGGAGGAGATTGATGGACTCTCAGGGCTTCTCTTCCCCTTCTATGATGCTGACACTCACATGCTCTACCTGGCTGGAAAGGTACATCCTGCATGGCACATCCCATGGCCATGGAGAACCTGTGGCATTCCCAGTCTGTATCCTCCTGGCACTGGTCAAGGATGTGCTGCTGGGGGTTGTTATCAGATGGTTTGGGTTGGAAGTACCTGCAAGATCATCCAGTTCCCCTCCCTGCCCTGGGCAGGGACACCTTCCAGTAGCCCAGTTTGCTCCAGGTTGCTCCAAGCCCCATCCAGCCTGGCCTGGAACACTCCCAGGGATGGAGCAGCCACAGCTGCTCTGTGACTTCCATCCCAGCCCCTCACCACCCTTACAGGGAACGATTCCTTCCTAACATCCCACCCATCCCTGCCCTCTAAATGGTCTTTATCCTGGTCTTTCTTCATCCTGCTGTTTGCCAAAGGAATAACCATTCCCTCCTCCCTCTCTCCTGTTCCCCCAGGGTGATGGGAACATCCGGTACTATGAGATTGGCTCCGAGAAGCCTTACCTGAGCTACCTGATGGAGTTTCGCTCTCCAGCGCCACAGAAAGGCCTGGGTAAGGTTGGCTGTGCTGCTGGGGCCTCCACTCTGAGCATGGACAAGGTGGAGGGTGGAAGGTACTTGAGGAAATGTCCCAAGCAAATGGGTTTGGATGGGTTTGGCCAGAGCTGTTCTGGCTCTGGAGCATCAGCTGCAGCTCCAGCAGGGTGACATTCTCATCCCAGTGGTTCCCAGCCCATCTATTCCCATGCCATCCATTCCCATCCCAATAGTTCCCATTCCATCTGTTCCCATCCCAATGGTTCCCATGCTATCCATTCGTATCCTTTCCCATCCAAATAGTTCCCATCCCAATGGTTCCCATCCATTCCCATCCCACTCATTCCCATCCCAATAGTTCCTATACCATCCATTCTCATACCAATGCTTCCCATCCCAACTGTTCCTGTCCAAACCATTCCCATCCTAATGGTTGACATCCTATCCATTCCCAATCCATCCATACACATCCCAACTATTCCCATCCCACCCATTCCCAATCCAGTGGATTCCAACCATTCCCATCCCATCCATTCCCATCCAAATGGTTCCCATCCCATCCATTCCCATCCCAAGATCTGGGTCTCCTGATGGAGACCAAGGACCTCTTGGGGTCCTCCATGCCACAGAGGAGGGTGGGTGAGCAGCACTGAGGTCACTGGCCGTGATCCAGTGAAGCCTTTGGTCTCCTGGTGGAGATCAAGGACATCTTGAGGTCCTTCATGGCAGGGAAGAAGGTGGGTGGGCAGCAGTGGTGGTGACCATGTGTACCTCCTCCACAGGGGTGATGCCCAAGCATGGCCTGGACGTGTCAGCCTGTGAGGTCTTTCGCTTCTACAAGCTTATCACCCTCAAGGGGCTGATCGAGCCCATCTCCATGATCGTGCCCAGGAGGGTAAGTCCTTCAGGGTCTGGGTGGCCAAAGAGGGGCCAGAGGCATGGAAATATCCCACTTTGACCAGTCTGGGGCTCTTCACCAGCCTTAGACCTCTCCATTATTCCACATCCCATGGATTTCTGGTTAGACCTCTCCATCATTCCACATCCATGGGGTTCCTGGTCAGATTCCACATCCCAGGGGGTCTTGGTTGGACCTCTCCATCATTCCACATCCCATGGATTCCTGGTGGTGGTTACCCAAGGTTTAATGGGAATGTCCTTAGGAGATGCGTCTCCACATTGCTCCTGGTCTTGATGCAGTTGCTTTGTACAACATCAGCTTGGTCTGTTGTCACAGGTCTCAAGGGACTTGTCCACCTAAGCATTAGGGGTTGCAGACCTTGGTTGGAGGCAACCTGGGAGAGGACTGTCCTCCTCCAGCCCCTCTGCTCCATTCCCAGCCACCAGTTCCCAAATCTCCTCTGCATTCCTTGAGTTCTCAGCTAACTGTATGGTCAAAGACCAGTTTGTCACCTCCCTGGAGGTCTGTGTGATCCAAAGAGTGGATTCATGAAGGTGATTGCTCTTCTTCTTCTGTGTTTTCAGTCTGAGACATACCAAGAGGACATTTACCCGATGACACCAGGGACAGAACCTGCTCTGACTCCTGATGAATGGCTGAGTGGGGTCAACAGAGGTAAAATCACTGGGAACACCTGAGTGGGAGCTCTGGAAGTGGTTGGGTAATGAGATGGGACCTTGGTGGATGGTTGGACTTGATGATCTTCAAGGTCTGTTCAACCTGGATAATGCCATGGGATCACAGCTCACCCTGACCCTCTCCTGTGTTCTGCCCTGCTCAGATCCCATCCTGATGTCACTCAAGGAAGGCTACAAGAGGACATCCAAAATTGTCTTCAAGGCCCCAGTGAGGGAGAAGAAAAGTGTGGTGGTTAATGGCATTGACCTGCTGGAGAATGTCCCACCACGGACAGAGAACGAGGTAGGACAGGACAGGTATGGGATGGGACACAGGGAAAGGACAGGGTGGACACTTCCTGGGTGGAGATGTTTCCTGGATGACCATGGAAAGCCACCACTGCAGGTCTCTACTCCCAAACTGAGGTCCATGGACACCAAGTTTGCTTGTGACTTGAAGTCTCCTGGTGTTCATTAACCACAGAGAAATGCAAAAGGAGCAGATAAGTTCCTAAATTGTTGGGTTTTCAACTACAATCCCTGTCTAGGAACAACATATGGAGGTGCAGGAGAACATCAGCACTTGAGCCTGGAAGGAATTGGTTTGGCTGAGACACTGGTTGCCCAGGGAGGTTGTGGATGCCCCAAGGAGGCTGTGGCTGCCCCGACCCTGGCAGTGATCAAAGCCTTGAGCAACTTGGTCTGGTGGGAGGTGTCCCTGCCAGGGGATTGGCACTGGATGATCTCTAAAGTCCATCCCAGGCCATTAACATACAATGAAACTATGTTAAATGCAAGGGAGCAGAGAGGGTGGAAGGTGAAGTCATGGAACATCCCATGGGTTGGGTTGGAAGGACCTTAAAGCTCATCTTGTTCCACCAGCCCAGGTTGCTCCAAGCCCCATCCAGCCTGGCCTGGAACACTCCCTGGGATGGAGCAGCCACAGCTGCTCTGGGCAATCCATTCCAATGCCTCCCCATCCTCCCATGGAACAATTCCTCCCCAGTATCCCACCCAAATCTCCTCTCCTTCAGCTTCAAACCATTCCCCTTGTCTCATGGCCACAATCCATGGTAGGAGGTTTGTCCCTAAATCCATTTGAGCTGTGTCCCACCCCAGGGTGGCTCCAGGGCTGGCAGGAGGGTGAGTGGCTGGTGTGATCCCTCCATCTCCTTCCCTTGCAGCTCCTCCGGATGTTCTTCCGGCAGCAAGATGAGATCCGTCGGCTCAAGGACGAGCTGTCGCAGAAGGACATTCGGATCCGACAGCTCCAATTGGAACTAAAGAACTTAAGAAACAGCCCCAAGAACAATTAACCTCCAAGGACCTTTTCTAGAGGATCTTCCTCTGTTTCTACTGCTCTTTAACCTCTGTCCACTCACAGTCACGAGTCAGGACTCAGCCACCTGCCCAGAGCCCAAGAGCTAACTGGAACACGTCTCCGTGTCTTGTCTGGCACTAATCCTGCTCTAACCTGCTGCAGGAGGTCAGGAGATCCAAGGAGCAGGAGCTGTGGTGCTGGGTCAGGCCAGGCCAGCTCCTGGGAATGTGATGCTTCCCTGCTGGGGACTTCTTCTCCTATGCAAAATGGGACAGTGGGGCCGAACTGGAAGGGGAGGGAAGGGATGGAGCACCATGCTGGGGTCATGGGATACTTCCTGTGGTGGGAGCACAGGATCCATCCCAGACTGGAAGCACAGGGCTCTTCCCATGGTGGGGACCCAGGATCCAAGCCACAGTGGGAGCACAGCATCCTTTCCCATGCTGGGAGCCTGGGATCCATCCCATGGTGGGAGCCCAGGAGCCTTTCCACAGTGGAAGCTCAGGACTCTTTC